CAAAACTGGGCACAGTACTCCAGCTGTAGCCTCACCAGTGCTGAATAGAGGGGATTAATCACTTCCCTTGACCTGCTGACAACACACCTACCAACCCAGCCCAGTATGCCATTAGCCTTCTTGGTGACAAGGGCACTTTGCTGGGTCATTTTCAGCTTCTTGCCCATTGTAACCCCCCCCATGTCCTTTTCTGAAGAGCTGCTGCCCAACCAATCAACCCCCAGCCTGTACTGGTGCATGGGATTGGTCCCTCCTAAGTGCAGGACTTCTCACTTGTCCTTGTTGAACCTCATGAGATTTCTTTTGGCCCAATCCTCCAATTTGTCTAGGTCACACAGGGTCCCCCCCCCACCAGTGCTACTGGTGTCCCTCAGTCCTCCCGCAACCTCCCAGCCCCATGTATGCAGGCACAGACACCCAGGCAGGTAAGTGTGAGAGAGGAGAAAGGGGTAGGGTGAGGCAGGGGAAAGGGAAGGGGCTGCAGGGTGCAGATTGAGTACGTCTTTATATGGTCACAGCAGGGACAGGGGGGCGAGGGCAGCGGTGCCCCTCTGTGGGTCACACACACACACACACACACACACACACACACTGCCTGGCCAGACCCAGGGGCTGGGGGGTTAGCACACAGTGGCCACCCCTGCCACCACCACTACTGCCGCACTGCTTTGCCATGGCCAGTCACACACGTGTCTCTGTGGGCAAGTGGTGTGGCAGCACTGGCACAGGACAGTGACAGTGGTGGCTGCCGCATGCAAGCCCTTCCCCCCCCCACCATCAGTGCCTCTCTGCGGGCTGTACACACAGGAGAGGGCTCACACACAGCAGCCACCACCACCACTGCCCCATGCTGCCACTGCCACACTGCTTGCCCAGAGCCACATGTGCGACCAGCTGTGGCAAAGCAGCGTGGGGCATAGCAGTTGCAGCAGTGTGGGGTGCTGGCTGCCACTGCATGCAACTTCCCCCCTTCCCCGCCAGCCAGGCGGTGCATGTGTAGCCCGCAGAGGGGCACCAGCAAGGGGGTGGTGGCTCCACTAGCCGCAGCAGCATGGGGCAGTGGCTGCTGCCACGTGTGAACCCCAGGAATGAACAGTGAGCCTGATCTAAGCCTTGGGTGTGAGCCTCAGGGCCTGCCCTTACCCTTCTCCCTCCTGCTCTGGACAGGGCTCAAGGTTTCCCTGCCCTTTTTGCAATTGGCTCTTGCAGGCTGGAACTCTACCAGCCCACAGAGCTCTTTGCAAAATTGAGAAATCCATGGGTTTCTCTGCTAAAAAAGGTTCAATATTTATGCTACACTAGCACAAGTCAGGAAACCATCCTTTACTGCTGGTTGTAGCCATGTTGGTCTAAAGACATAGGCAGACAAGGTTCTTTGGGTAAATTTATCTTAACACATGGCTAGGCAATTATTTCAGCTGGAAGGCCACTTACCAAGCTAAATTGAGGCCTGCATGGGTATCCTTGCCTCTTGACAGGTGCCCTGCCCCCTGGTCACTGTCTTGTGAGCACAAATCCCACCTCCTACTCCTGACCTTTGCCACAAGAAGTCCCTTCCCTTGCCCCCAGAAACTCTTCAGGAAGGGGTTTTGCCACTGGAACCAGAAAAATACCAAATTATATTCTAAAAAATAAAACATCTACTACAACATTCATTAATTTGATTTCAAAAAAATATTTTTGTCCCGAGTTACCTGCATTTGTGTTGTGTACATAGAGGTGATTGCATAATAACTCAAAATGAAGTCTTACTCCTGTATATTGTGGGGAGAATGGGGCATAGGGGGGTGGGGAGCTGTGGATGTGTGGGAATGTGGGGTGTGAGGGAAGGTGTGAGGGGGGATGCGGAAGCATGTGGGTATGTGGATGTGGGAGGGTGGCTGGAGTGTGGTGCATGTTTATGGTGGGATATGCATGTGGGACCTGCTGTATGAACACACACACACTCTGTCTGTCCCTCCCTCCCTGCATGTGTGTGTACGCATGCTTTCATCACTTCCCTGCCCGCCACAGCGCTCCAGCACCCCATGGTTCCTGGCTGCATGGCCACAACTGCAGGACTCAGCAGGAACCGGTCAGGCCTAGCCCCGAGGACTCACGCGATTGCCTGCAGTCCTCCCTTGCCTCCCCCGACCCTCCCCTTCTTATCTGAATTTCCCTCTTGGGTGGAAGGAGGTAGGAACAGCCCAAGTGTTCCAGGCCAGAAGCCTCTGCTAGGCATGTCTGCCAGAAAGGGGGGCAACCTGTAATATCTAATCATGGAACCCTAACTGAAGAAATATCAGATTTCATCAAATCCATCCTAAAACCTTTAGTCACCTAAAGAGCAGGTTTTCCAAGCCTCACACCTTCTATGAAAACCTAAAAACATAGACCATCTTCCCAGCCATACTCTCCTAGCCATCATAGATATTACCAGCTTATATACCAACATCCCACACTGGCATGGCATCCAAGCCTGCCTTACATATCTACATGAGCAAAATTACAACTGAGTTCAGATCTAGAAGATACTACCCAACTTATACACTTCAACCTTACAAACTACAGCTTCAAGTTCAATAACAAACACTTCCTCCAGACCATGGGTACTAGAGATGCATTGATACGTTGATCCCGCATCAGATCAGCACCAATATAAGGAAAACTGACAGTATCGGCAATCGGCTTTTTTGGACCAATAAAGTTGCCGATAAATGCCCTGTGCATGCATGCAATCACAGCACAGCACAGCACACAGGTGGCCAGGAGCGCAGCCAGGCAGTATGGAGTAGTAGGCTCTGGCTGGTAAGTCTGTTGAGGGAAGGGACATGAGGGGGGTGGGGGGCAGATCAAGGC